ACACGGGAAATATAAAGGGTGGTTGGATTTGTTTCTTCTCGCTTGAGAAAATATGTATCGCTATAATTTGATAAAATTCCATAATGGAGGCCATTACAGGCCATTTCACCAAATATCTGTGATAGGATACGTTTCTTGAATTTAAAATTTTGATCGAATCTTTGGTTTCTAAATTTTGATTTCATTATTCCACGCCGGTCGTTATATCGATAAATTTGCCAGAAATGATAACCGCGTAAATCAAGATTGTGGCGCGTTTTCATTTCCACTGGCATCTTGGCCACTGTGTAATTATTATTAGTGCATAAAACATAGTCAGAAGCACCTAAAAATCCGGCAGGTGTATCAACAAATGCTCCTTGTGGTGCTAATACCGATTCGACAGGTGCTAAAACATTATCTCGTAAACGAGTTTTTGCCGTGCCTTCGACTCTGAGAGGTATTGCATTTGTGAATCCAGTGGGGAATAGTCCTCCTGGAAGGGGAAAAGTCGTACCAGCAAGTCTGACATTTCGAAAGAATCCGATCCATTCCCTCACGTTGTCTGGAAATCGTGGGTAAGCAGATATTTAAGTTGTATTAGGTATTTTGCGGGATCCATTGGCAAACTGGAACGACGTGACCTAGTAATTGACCTGCTGTTTGAGTCATACAATAGACCCTGTGCGACAGAAAAGTTTCATATAACTTCTATCGTAGTATATAAACCACCAATCACCCAAAAACAAATGTGATAAAAATTTTCTATTCTTTCATAATTAGACAGTATTAGATGGTTTACTTGCCTTCATGTAATAAAGAGAGAGACAAGATCGCCTTATGTGAAAGGAATGTGAAGATATAGTAATTTGGAAGATGAAATGTTTAGATATGGAATTGCTATATACATTAATTCAAAGTCAGGATTAATCACTCCCCGAAACTGTATATAGTTGAATGTGTTTTGAAAGGAGAAATATTGAAGTGATAGAAGGTGAGTTAAAGTGAGAAAGCAATTATCTTTGTGTTAACAATCCCTTTCACAAAACACAAATCAAATGTGTCTATCTAAGTAGGGTATATTTAACTTATTATATTAATATATAAGAGATATTTTTTTACAATATATATTCTAACTTATATAAATTAAATAAAAAATGATATTTCAAGCAACATTTCAAGAAATTAACTCTTATCAACACTACTATATCCAATCTTACAAAAATTATCTAATTATCAATAAATGCAAAGTAGAGCTCACCAGTACCTATCTGGCTTCTGGCAATATTCTACTAATAATACTTAATATTATTTAATAGAGTTCTCAGTATAATACTATTAAAATCAGAAACAATAAAAAAATCCTTCAACCAGTATCAGCACATCTTAGAAAAATAATTAAGATTAACTTTTCTTCTTTAATCCAAAAGATAAATCAAGTTATAAAACAAAAATCAATAGATATTATATATATCAAATCAAAATTCAAATTGTTAATAATCAAAACAATTCAATAGAACAATCTCCTATCTTATTTTTTAGAAAATTCTTTGATTAACAATACATGCCTAGATAGTAGTATTAGATGGTGCAAAAAAATTTTTAGTATTACTAGAAACTATATGATCTATGAAGGCTTTTTAAGTCCTTTAACCTTTTGGACAATATCACACTTTATATGGCCTAAAAGTTATTAACCAATTTAACAAAAACATTAAAAAAATACATAATAATAGCTATAGTAATCTAATAGTATTTAGAATCAAATTACTTTTGGAATTCCTTTTAACTTATCAAATATTTTATCAATATTACTTCAACTAATATCCAAATATATACTGTCCAATATGTAAGCTTCATATTAAGAATATCCAATATGTTTTCAAATATTTTGAAGCTTTAAAAAAGATCAACCAGATCATAAACAGTATTAATCAAATTTTTTATCCAGATAACAATTTCATATTAATCTTTTATTATTTATTTATTTATTTTTTTTTAAATACATCAGCAATAATTGTTTGGCTGAATATTTATTCAATAACAATGTTTACATATATCTTTTGACATTACTATCTAGAACTATACTATAATGTATCAGTTGTCAACTATACCCAATATTTATTGGGATTGCTCCAAATAATGATGTTTGCTGTAACTTGTTCTTAACTATATTAGGTATAGAGACTAATTTACTAAACAAAGATAATCCTTTGTTGGACCAGTAGCATGCATTTTTACTAGTAATCAGACAGCTTTATTTCTAACTGGGGAGGAATTAAGGAGAAGTTGAAAGGGGACACTAGGGGTAAGAATGGGTCCCTAAACTATTTAGTATATAAAATTTTGCAGATCAATTATGTCTCTTTTGAAGAGATATAATTATTTATTTATTACTTTAATAGGGACATAA